AGGGCTTTGCAAACAGAAGGCCATGCCACAGCTCCTTGGCTGAGTCAGTATCTTTGGATATTGCGCTGCCATTGTTGTCGCCAGCTCCTGTTGCTGCCACTCAACATGCAAGCAACTACTGCATTTCGAATTTCGAATCTTTTGTTCATTGTTGCTTAGTCTCCACTTGTCGCCAACCCTTTTCTCTCCCCGGCCATGGTTCATTTCATATAATTGACTCTTCTCTCTGTCTTCCATTTCAAGCTGTCGGCCCTAATGACCACAGAGATTTTCCAGCTGGCCGGTGAAAATGCATTAGCACTAACCTAACGCCAAGTTATAAACGCAGCTAATGCGATTATGTTTCTCTCTCTCTCCCCATCTCCCTCTCACTCTCTCTTTCTTTCTCCCTCTCTTTCACTCACACTCCCACTTTGGAGAAATGTGAGTTAAGCCAGGCTCAAATTAGTTGGGCTTGCAGCTTGCAGCGGTATTTGGGTCAGCAACGCAGTCGAGAAATCGATGCGGCTTAGAATCGATACGAGCTAAATAGAAAACAAGAATTCCGCAATTTATACACTTCAGCCGGTTTGTATAAATATTTATATTTATTTACTGAAACAAAGAGTTCGAATTCTTGCACTAAGTTTTGTAATAGACTGAAATTGGTTTGTGCACGTACGTGCTTTTCCTGTAAGGGAAAATATCAAAATTTAGCTGAATCAGTCATCCAAAACTAGATCAAGTGAATTTAAACACAATCATTTGTTACAGATGTGCTTTATAAGCTGCTTATAATAATCAAATTCAGTCCTAATAAACGGTTCATTAGTGATCCAGCTACAAAACTAGATGATCCTCGCTCAACAAATTACTGAAGATTTAGTTTTAAAGGCAAATTTTAGAGTTCCAATTCTGAAATCTTCTTATATAGTTTTCCACAATCTAAGCTTAACATGTGTATTCGAGTATATACTCGAAATAGATATTAAATTCCAAATCTCTAGCATTTCATTATGCGAAGCGAAAAAAAGATATAAGAGAAGTAAATGTTGCTTGATCTGAATTTTAAGCTTCGTTTATTTTATTTTTAATATCTGCCACACCCACTATTTGTATAAGGGTATGGGGCAGTCGAGCGTATACATTGCCAACGTTCTAAGTTCTTTTTATTGTACCTTTTTGACTGCAATAAATTAAGTGCCGAGCCCCTTCTTAAACATGCAAGTGAATCATCAGACAACAAAGTCCATTTAAAATCGAACGCATTGCAGTAGCTGATTTTTGGTTTGGATTACAGCAATAGCAACAACAACAATAACAACAACCACAGTCGTAAAAGTAAATTTAATGCATTTACAAATGTTTTTGTCTAAATAGCAAACTAAAACAACAAAAATAAAAAGAAAAAGAAGCGTCGCGACGCTGCTATAGGGAAATTTCTATTCAATTCAATTTGTCAAATGCATACAGACACACACACACTAACAAAGAGCTATATATATATATATATATATATATATATATATATATATGTGCGTGTATATATTTGGTCATTGTTTTTGTTGTTAAACACAAACAAAAAGTTCAAGGCTAACATTTGGTGGGCAACATGCGCGCAATAAAAAAAAAACTTAGAAAATAAATGAATTTTGAAATAAAGTCACTCTCTAAGATACTCTTACGAAATTTTAAATGTCAAATGTAAATATGTAAAATACATATATTGTACAACTATTAGAGAGTAAATTATTGTTTATATATTTAAAAAAATAATTTTTAATATTTTATTGAACATTTGAGTATTTTCCAAATAAATAATTTTATTTTTTCTTAGTTGTGCAATTAATTTGCTTTTTTTCCACGCTGACACATGGAATTTTCCCAATTTCTCTTCAAGCTTATATAACCCAGTTTTGCAGAGTATTCGAATATAAACAGCTGCTGTTTAAATTCAGTTACATAGAGAAACATACGACAAACAAAAAGAGAGAACGGCGTATCTACAAAATAAGTATGTCATTCAGCTAATTGCGCCTTGGCTGCTGGCGTTCAATTAATTTCTAGTAAAAACATTGCCGCCTGTTTACAAATTCACATTTAGTAAAGAAAAAGCTGTTATTCAGAGTTTATCAAAAAGTTGTCGCCAGGTGCTCTATTTTTAAACACACACACAGCGCAAGACCCCACGACAAAATTATATACACATTTCGTATTGGCCATATTATAAATATATACGTGAGAGCCATTATACAGACAGCATATATACGATTGTGGATTGCTGATCTGTCATGTGCGCCAAAGAATTTTGTTTACACAAATTGCTTAGAAATCATTGTGGCGATTCAAAGATAAGATTGAACATAAATTTAAAGTGCGCACTGATCGGACCTAGCCCAAGTTGTATAGTAAATTAAGAGTTGACACCTCGCTCTAATCTCTACTTTGCTGTTGTCCCAAGATAGCCCAGAGACAAATATTTTTTGATAGATTATCTGAGTTGACCATAAATCTAAATACTGTGAGATATATGTTGAGGAAGCCAAGATAATTAGAACTAGACTTCATGCATATAGAATTTTATGGTTCTCTTCAATATCTTTGATAAAATTCGAAATCATACACCTAAATTTTGACTGAGTTGAAATAGCTCGACATAATGAACCTTCCCAGATTCAATCGTAAGCTAAATTGTATGGCAGTGCATACTTGAGTTATCCCAAACTCTACATATTATTAGTATTTTTAATAACACTCTTTTAGAGCTTTTCATTTAAAATTATTTTTCAACATATTTTATTATTCCTAGCTTTCTTTAACTTATTTTTCTAACTGTCACAATTATAATACTTTTAACAGCTTTTTTCACATGACATGACTTCGTCCAATTTTGACGACAGTCTTCTGATAAAAACTTAATTCTATTCCAAATCTCTCGGGTCATTGCGTCTATTTTGTGTTATTATTATTTCTGTACGATTCACATACAATTTTCAGTTACTTCAATCAAATTTAAAGGTAAACTATTACTCAAATTATCTCAAATACTATAAAAATCCAAATAGGAACCACTACACATTTTAATATACAATTTTAAAGCCATTAAATGTATATTTAAAAGTTGATCATATCTGTGGACTGCATGCACACATACTTGTTACTCAATACAATGTAAACATATTTGATCTCAAGCTATTCCCTTGCAGTTTGCAGCAGCACACTTTCGCATCGCCAAAATACATTTGGCGTAATCAGTGGTAGCAAAACATTTGATGTGATTTTAATGCTATTGGGCCGGGCGCAAACAAGTCTCCGACGAGTCTAGTCCAGCCATCGGGCTGGGGTCTCTGCACGTACTTTTGGCCAACCAGAGGCAAAGTAACGATTTGTTGCGTTAATGCCGCGTGTGCCCTATTACCAAGCCATAATGCCGTACGTGCCGCAGATAAATACCGGTTCACATAAAAAAGTCAAGCTGTAACAGTTGTTGCAAAAATGATGGTGGAGGCAAAAGGTCGCTCTCACCAGCATAGTGACCCTTAAGGAAAACTGTGTGCTTTCACGCTTGGCAACTGCCACTGGAAGCTGATAACAAAATGTTGTTTACATAAACTGTCTCAGTTTAGGCGGGGTTCAAGCGAACGCATAATTATAAACAAACAAGCGACGGGCTGACAGAAAACCTATTCGATTATGTGGCTCCAAAAATAAAGCAGATTTAGCCCAAGTCAGAGTCGCATCGGTGTCTGACCTTTTTTGGACTGAGATAAACAAACAGAAAACAAAGGGGAGAAAATGTAAAATTGATATTCTTTGAGGGTGCCTGACCAAGAAATACCCTGCAGCTAAAATTGCTGACGCTCGTAATATGTCCAATATAAATCTTATCTAAATTGAAATTTTGCAACTCTTAAAAAAGAATCGATATTTATCGATAAAAATCATATGTCTCCAGCTGAATGAACAAAACAATATAGCCCATTTGTAAAATCAATTTCAATGGGTAGAGAGTGCATGACAAAGGTAAAAGGTTACGCAGAAATATATGTGTATACAGTGGCGATATAGTCTGCTTACAAGCAGCTCAAAAATATTGAAATTTAAATTTTTGAGCCAATAATACTTGAAGTAAATTGCGATTCGGCGAAATCGTGCTTTGATATTATAGAATGGGTTTGGTAGAGGCTTTATGTACTTTTTTAGTCAAAATAAACTCAAGTTCTTTTAGCTTATCTCTGGGTAAACATGCGCCAGATTTTGTATATTTTTATTTTGTATTCTGCGTGTGACTCACGCGAATTTGGCAAATAAAAATGTATTATTAAACCAAAAACTAATCTCACATTAGGGTCACTAGCACAGCTACATATGCATACATATATATGTAACACATGTGAATGTCAAGTCGAAAGATGAGCCAACAACAGCAGCAACAAATACAACAATGCAATTGTTGTGCAATTAATGTTGCTGTTTACAAATGGCAATAAACGAAAATAAAATAGAAACAAGTGCAAGAAACACAAAAGTAAGCTGTTGTATGCACAGTGCCGGCGATTAAATACACTTTCTTGTTGAAAACAGTTTTGATTCCTATTAAAAAAATTATCATGAGCACGTCGATAATATATATTATTTATTACTTTTCAAGGGTTTGTTCAAATTTAATCTAGTTTAAGTTAGCTTTGCCCCACTTGGTTTTCAAGTAAAATCATTGAATACGTGTGTTTAGTGACAGGAATTGTTTTTGCTTTGAATCATAAACTAAGTTGGTCTAAAAGCTGTCTGCGCAAAAAATATTTATGAATGTAAATTATAATTAAGTTAAATTTGAAATTTGGAAATCTTTTTTATATAATTGTAAATTTGTAATATGTATAGGAAAATCAACAGGAAAGAAAAGAAAGCGTCGATAAACATTTAATGTTCCGCTCACTATAGACTCAATTCTCTTTTCACTTCGCCCCTCTCACTCGCTCTATATCAATTGCACATTATGTAAATGTTGCTCTTGCACTCACCTTGGTATGCAATTGGGCGGCGTTCGATCGACTTCCCAGGCGGCGAAAAGTTTCATAGGCACCGGCTTCTGTCCGTTGCTCGTCATATTGCTGCTGCCAGCGCCGTAGCCGATGACGCCGCCGCAGACGCCGCTGGCTGAGCCAGCCGCTGTGACTGATGCAGCGCTGGCGGCAGCTACGTTGGCTGCTGCCGACGCCGCGGCTGAGCCACCGCTGCTGCCACTGGCGACAAATTTATCCATCAGTTTTGACGATTTGTCCACCATCTTCATGGTGATTTTGTTATTATTGCTGTGGTTTTTATTGTTGTTTATTTTGTTGTTGTGTATTTGCTGTTAATTTCTGTTGCACATTATGAATCTAGCAAAAAATGTAGTTTCACATAAATAACATTTAACGACATTACATATAATATATGTATCTAAATTTATTCGAATGTAGCGTTTGAAGCGTGGCAAACTTTTGTTCTTTTGTCATACATATATATATACTTGTGTATATATATAAATTAAATATTTAAAAATTTATTTTTTTCCGTTGCAGCGATTGGGCGACTGCTGCTGTGGGGCGCGCCAGCTGCTGGCTGCCTGCTGTGCTGCTCGCCCTTAATGTTCAAAAAGATGCGCTTCGTAGTATACACAGAATCACGACGCATCCAAACCGAGAAGCAAGCCGAGCAAGCGGGGAGGGGAGCTACACGAAACGCGGATGGGCAGAGGCAGAGGCTGAGACAGAGAGCCAAATACGATTGCAACTGCAAAATTCACACACATACACACGCACGCACACTCACAGAATCAATAACACGATTTTTTACTGGTACCCAATCTGAATCTGTTATAGAATTTTACTGATTTCCCTGGCGCGTCTAGGGGAGCAGCTTAGAGATGTGGTGGCCGCACGTTCGCGTTGTCTGCTTTTTGCCGTTGGAGAGCCCGAAACAACCGTCATGCTCCAAAGTAGCCGTGCAAATGTCGCGTTATGAATTCCTCAGTCACTCAATTCGCATGCTGAGCAGAGGAGAGAAAATTTAGTGAGCAGCAATTCGTTGCTTGGGCGCGTCAAGAGCGCAAGCGGCAGCAATAACAATGTGCGCACTCCCCCACATACAATCACACACACAGACAAATACGGGTATATACACTCAAACAACGTTGGCGCTTTTTGCAAATTTTGTGTCCGTGTTAGGCTTGTTCGTGTGTTTATTCGCGCATTTTATGCTCTCATACGCGCGCATAAACAAAAGGAAACAAAAGGCCCACCAATTGCATGCAAGTGTGTGTACATGCATGTGTGTGAACATCCGTGTATGTGTCTGCTTTATATACCCACAAATGTATGTAAAGGCAAGCACATTAGCCGTAACAACAGCAATAGTACCTTTGACAACTTTTAATTTGAATTTAAGTGCACAGTATTTATGTTTTAACACAGAAACTCTCATGTATTTTTTATTTTATTTATTACGATTTGTTAACCAAATAATCACGGAACAACCTACGACGTCCGCCACTCATTCGGGCAAACACATACTAACAGCAAAACACTAACACACAGCCAAGCACAATTTAACATTTACTCAAATGTTTTTAACAGTGGCCACAAATTTACTTTTTCTAAAACGACACAAAATTAATTTTCATGAATGCAAATCATCTTTAATATTACAATATATCTTCTAATATGTACTAAATAGTATTTAACTAATCGAAAAATGTCGAAATTCGAATAAAGTTTGAATAGAACTGTTAAACTGGCATACAATTACGATAGATTATACAGCAATAACAGAGTATTCATAACATTTACCAACACTAAGCTCTATCGATAAATTATCGTTTCTGCTTAATCTTTTCCGTCATAGTAATTAATGTAAACAAAACTAAATTTTCCGGCATCGCAAAGAAAACTTAATAATAATGGCCGATGCATGGGACATAAAGTCACTTAAAACAAAGCGCAATACTCTGCGTGAAAAATTGGAAAAGCGCAAAAAGGAACGATTCGACATACTGTCAGACAAACAAGAGGATCAGTCGAACCCAAAAAAAGAGCTCGGTAAGCGATGAGCCGGAAACGAAGTATTAAATATTTATATATTACTTGTTTTTAGTTGAAGCCGATGTAGACGTACAAAAAGCTGTACTTCAAGCGCTCAGTGCTAGCACTCTTGTGCTACCCATTGTCTCCACGCAAGTTGTTGATAAGGTCGGTTGTCTCATGGAGAAGCCGCCAACGATGGAAATGGTCAACTTTATACTCGGAAAGCTAGCTAATCAAGGCGCTATTGGAATAAGAAATGTCACAATTGGTACAGAAGCTGGCTACGAAGTGATCTCCGTACAAAATAAGGAGCTGCTAGAGATATATGATGATATTAACGACAGTTGCCAGCAGAGTGAGGAGACGGATGCTAAACGGAAGTGTAAGCAAATTCTCATACTTTTTTATGTATTCCAATTAATATTAAATAACCAGCAGTAGAAACTGGGCAGGATGAGGAGAAAGATGCTGAGCGGTTACAACGCAAAATACAAAAAATTGACACAGGGACCGCACGCAAAGAGTCCACCAGCCTGGATGCTTCCGATGATATCATGATGTTGTTGTCCCTGCCCTCGACACGCGAAAAGCAAAGCAAGCAGGTTGGCGAGGAGATACTCGAACTGCTGACCAAACCAACAGCCAAAGAGCGTTCAGTTGCAGAAAAGTTTAAATCTCATGGTGGTGCACAAGTCATGGAGTTCTGCTCACACGGCACTAAAATAGAGTGCCTTAAGGCGCAGCAGGTCGCCAACGAAATGGCGGCAAAAAAGAAACTGGAGCGCCGCGAAGAGAAAGAATTACGGAATGCGGTTTCCGCCGATGGGGCTATTGCCAATAGCAGTAAACTAGTCAAGTTGAGTTCGGAGGATGCCGAAGATGGTGAAATTATAGCAGAGACTCTAAACAATTGTGACGCCGACTCGCAGGAATCCACAGATGACAGTGAATCCTCTGGGGACTCAGACAAATGCACAAAGCTGCATTTTAAAAAAATCATTCAATCGCACACGGACGAGTCACTGGGCGATTGCAGTTTCCTGAACACCTGCTTCCACATGGCCACTTGCAAGTACGTGCACTATGAAGTGGACACGCTGCCGCATATCAACACGAACAAGCCGACGGATGTTAAGACCAAGCTTAGCATGAAACGCAGCATCGACTCCAGTTGCACTTTGTATCCACCGCAGTGGATACAGTGTGATCTACGCTTTCTGGACATGACTGTGCTTGGTAAATTCGCTGTCGTTATGGCCGATCCACCATGGGATATACATATGGAGCTGCCTTATGGCACCATGTCTGACGATGAGATGCGCGCCTTGGGCATTCCAGCACTGCAGGAAGAAGGTCTCATATTTCTATGGGTAACAGGGCGTGCCATGGAACTGGGGCGCGATTGCCTAAAGCTTTGGGGATATGAACGTGTCGATGAACTGATCTGGGTGAAAACAAATCAGCTGCAGCGTATTATTCGCACGGGCCGAACCGGTCACTGGTTGAATCACGGCAAGGAGCATTGTCTGGTTGGCATGAAGGGCAATCCGACAAATCTAAATCGCGGTCTCGACTGCGATGTCATTGTCGCAGAAGTACGTGCCACCAGCCACAAACCCGACGAGATCTACGGAATTATTGAACGCCTCAGTCCAGGCACCCGCAAAATTGAGCTCTTCGGCCGACCGCACAACATTCAGCCGAACTGGATAACGCTGGGCAATCAGTTGGACGGCATTCGTCTAGTCGACCCTGAGCTAATTACCCAATTCCAAAAGCGTTATCCTGATGGCAATTGCATGTCACCCACAGCGGCGGCAGTAAATGCCATTAAGAATTAAACAAATACACCGACAATAATTATTATATTACAACTTTTATAAATACTAGTACGTTAAGATTAAAGTAAATATTTAAATAGATTTTATTGCTCATTGGGACTTTGCGCGTATTTACAAGTGTTGCTGGCGCTAAATGAATATTATGTATCTATAGGCTATAAATAAGATAGACATATATATAAAAAAAAAATATATATATATATATATATATATTTCAATCCATGTATGTATATATAGAGTATATAGAACGGCTAGTTAGATACGATCATAATCACAGCATTGAATGCGTGATAAATATATACGATTGCTAATGGGCATAAATATATGTTGTAAACTACTAATAATTATCAGAGAGTACAGAGCCAAGTAAAGAAATGCAACGTATGAAGTGTGCTTGCTGTTCCCGTGCCCTTCATTACCCTTGCCTAACCTTTGTCTGTGGGCAGCTTAATACATATGTACACTAAGTTTTGACATAAAAACGGAAAAACTTCCTTTTATGAATCCACTTAAAGAGTTTTGTGTGGTATTTTTAACCATAAATTTAGATAATGTAATGGCTTACAAATGAAAGCGAAGGTAAAACCGAAATAAACATAAATTTCTAAACATTTGGGTTTGTATGTGGGGGGTGTCTTCTTGGGCAGTTATCAAGATCCTTAACGTGAATGAGTTCCGGATGCACTTATCGCCTTTAGAACAATAAAGCCCAGCACCGTGGCAGCAGCTACGCCTAAGCCGGCTTTAAGCCAAACTTTCGGATCCTCAGTCATAAGTCCGAATTGTCGCAAATACCTACAAAAATTTGGTAAACAAATTATAAATTAGAAAAGATACTAATCGGAATTGATTAATGTTTCAAGGACTCAATATATGCTCCATACAACACATTTATAAAGCGTGTGATAGGTGTATGTGTGCGTGGTTTTAAATGGTCGCGTCGCATGTTAGAAATACAATAAAGAACCCAGACAACATTAGTAAATATTGTAGTTAAATGTGTAACACTTACGCCGATTCCCACAGCTGTACCAACCTGTGCTTGTAGAACAGTATCCAGGCGGCTTGAAAGCGCCTACGGAGAAGAAGCAGCAAAAATCCAAGGCGAGCAGCAGGGTCCATAAGCATTAAAGATGCACAATACATCAACAAAACATAACAAGAACACCATAACAAAAACGTAGAGATTAAGTGGAGGGGAGGAAATAAGAGAAGATAATAAAAATAATAATATATATAGCCATTAGTCCGAATATGTCAAATACGCCAAATGCCCATATGATCAGTGTTGACCCAATGCCCGATTTAATGACCGCAACCCAATGGAAAAGCATTTGAATACTCACGGAAAGGCTGCCATCGTGGCCAGCTTAGTATAGAGCTCTTTTTTATTTGTCTTCAGACTGAAAAGATGAGGCGGCAGTAGCTTGTATTTCTCGCAGAACTCCGTCGGCTGCATCAGATAATCCTGACGACGTTCATCGAGATCACATTTGGTACCCACAATCATCACGGGTATTTTGCTTTCCGCGAAGTATTTAATGTATATGCGTGCCACATACTCGAAGGAGCGCGGATTGGAGGCATCGTACACTAGGCAAGCCACATCGCAATTAACCTCCTGCGGTTGCAGCGGATCGAGAGCATGCCTCACATCAATGTCGCGCAATATTAAATGCTTTTCCTGGCCATAAACCTGTACCGAGTTGATACAGTGAACCACATTTGTCTTGAACTCTTTGCCCAGCAGCTTGCTCATGTCGTCAATAAGAAAACCCCGACAAAGTCCGGTCTTGCCCGACCCCTTCGGCCCGATCACATGACACTTGTATACAGATCGACTGCTTTGCCGCTTGGCCAAATCAATGCGGCGTTCCCGTGTCACATGGATGGCGACTAGTTGGCTGTCATTTTCATGAACGTTGAAGCCCAAATAGGCCAAATACTCCATTGTTTTGACCACATCGATGAGTGTCATCAGCGTCCAGCGGCACAGCCAACCGTGCAGAGTCACCCAACCGTTGTCATTGGTCGGACAAGATTTCCGTATATCCGTCGAGTAGGACCAGGGCGACGATGGGCATGTGCTGAATAGCATTTTGTGCTCATCTGGCGATAGCGCGCCATCGCCATCGCGATCGTATCGCTCAAACACCGCAATCAGAAACTGTTGACCGCGATGCGACAACTCCGTACTGCTGCCCGGCGGTATCTTCAACGACGGCCGCAAATACTCCTTGCACATTTCCAATTGATCATTGTATCCAAAACGCCGCAGCACCGCCCACGTTGTCTCATTGCGTCCACGCTGTATGAACAAGCAATGCAGAAAAAGAAATCCCTGCAGCGTCACAGCATCATTATATATGCCATCCGGCACATTTTTCTGTATCACGGACTTCACTTCATCCAATATCTGCGGCTGCAGTGGCGTATTAAAGCAACGCCTTTGAAAAAGGTTCAGCTCGTAATCATTCAGCAAATTGTCGCTATCAATATCGCATATCTTAAATATGCGCACTAGCGACTTCTTGCAGGCAGGTGTTAGCTGAAAATGAATTGAAAACAAAAGTTATCTCAGTTTGCCAAAGTTTAAGCACAAGCAAAGAAATCTCCGCTGTACTATGCACCATATACATTATATATTGTGCTCAGAGACAAAGAACTTTTTTATTTGCTGTTTATATTGCATTCTGATAAAAATAGCTTTCAAGGAGACATACATATGTATTGTTATAGAAAAGCTAAGTTATAATCTTGAGGAACTACATACGCTTTCCCTTTAAGGAAACATCTGTGAAACACTGACTAATGGAGCTAAGTTTGGAAAGAGTATGGAATAGTTATTCTATTTAGGGAAGTCCAACGACTAAAATTTCGGACTAACTAATCCAGCTCCGATATCGCGATTTTTCAGTATGTGAGGTAAGAAAGGAATTAGGACTGCTGGGAAAGGTACTTCCACAGCAGTTAAATTGAGATGGGAAGTGTCTCTAACTACTGGCAGTTTGGATTAATAAAGCTTACATTTTGCTCCTCCATGATATAGAGCGGTGAGGTGGGATGCAGCACCGCCTTTTGTGCGTAGTAAAACATTTCGGAAATGTTGTGCAAAGTTTTGGCCGAGCATTCAACACAGCTCTCAATCTCTGGATAGTCCTCCATAATAGCGAGAACATTGTCGATGGTTGAATACTCGATCAAATCTATTTTGTTGCCAACTAAAACAATTGGCTTGCGCGCCACATCGGGCTCGCCGTCTGCATTTGAGCTGTTACTGCATGTGGAGCGGACTAGGGGTAGCCAATGGGATGTTATTCGATCGAGTGAGTCGTCATCGTCTACGGCGTACACAATGCATACGACGTGCGCTTTGTTTATCTCCGCGGCCAGTGCGTCATCAGACTGCTCAACACTCGAGAAGTCAACGATATTGGTGGGCACCTGTTCGGGAGTCACGTTTGCCGGTATTGTAATCTCCTCAGCACGCGGGGGCACTTCCTCGGGATACTCCTCGCTTACCAGCGACAATATTAACGATGTCTTGCCAACTCCAGCATCGCCGACAAGTAGAATTCTCACGTTTTTGCGCTGCGACGCCGTGTATTGACCCATTACTTTTTTTTGGTTGGTATTCTATATGTAAGTGCACTACGTTATCTCTTTACGTTTTCGTTTCCAACAATTTTGGTTAGTCTTTCTCTCTTTCTTGTGGTTTTAAGATAATTTAAAGATTTTGTTATGCAAAAACCGCAGATACAACCGAGACGGCAGCTGATTTATAAAGACACACGTATCGATACTTCAATACATCGAAATTTTCAAAGCGACAACAACCCTAGAACAACCCATGTGGTGCTGCCGGATTAATTGTCAATTTGAAAATATTTTAATTGTGGCTGATGTTTTCTTGCATTTGCTGACCTTTAAATTGAACTTTTTTAATTTAACAAGGTATTAATTCGAAAAACATAGCATTTACTGCCTTTCTGAAGTATTTTCCCAAATTTTCAAATCGTTAATCCTCAAATGATCTGGCAACTACGTCAACGGAGACGGAGAAAATTTGTTTTGTGAGTTGGAAACGGCACAAAAAAAACGGCGCTCAATAAATGTACATATAGAAAAATGAGAAACGACAATTAACAACAAATAGCGCGCGTCGTGTTCCGTTTCAGTTTATTTGTTTTCAGTCCATTATTTAATCGTGTACTCTTTTTGGTTTGCTGTCTTTGTGTCTGAGCTGCAAGACAGAGAGGGGCAGAACTTCGCTTCTCTGTTAGTGAGGGTGGAGGTGGAGGTGGAGGGTGTTGCTTGTTTGTGAAAAGAGACTCGAATAGAAAAGCAGTGCTGCGGCGCGGAATCAATATCGATGGTACGCACCAAAAACCAATCGTCCTCATCCAGCGCTAGCAGCAGCACCAAATCGCCGGTCAAGATCAGCGGAGGCGGAAGCAGCGGCACAAATCGCAGTCGTAGCTGCAGTGAAGCATTAATCGATGACGGCAAAACTAGTTCGAAACTGTCGTCAAATCGTCAACGCACTACAATAACAACAACTACAGCTACAACTCCTGGCAGTTCACCAGACGACGACACCACCGATGCGGATTTAACACCAACCAGTGGAATCGGGCCAAGAGGCGGCACTTCAGTACATAAGCAAAATCTCTACGTTGTTTCATTTCCCATTATATTTCTGTTCAACGTATTGCGCTCTCTGATATATCAGCTGTTCTGTATTTTTCGCTATTTGTACGGAGCGAGCACAAAGGTGATCTATCGTAGTCCGCATCGACGCGACTGCAACATCGAGATCGTTGTCCAGAACTCTAAGGAGCAGCAGGCCATTATTTGTCCACTGGAGCGGAATAACGACGGCATTGAACAGGCTCAGGCACTGCCACAAAGACAACGCGCTTTGCTCCCACTGGAAATGGCATCCAATCGGGTAGGAAGCGGTGGCTACTCCCCTGGCCCCGGTGATCCGCTGCTGGCCAAGCAGAAACATCACCATCGACGAGCATTCGAGTACATTTCCAAAGCGCTCAAAATCGACGAGGAGAACGAAGGTAAGTTATTCCTTTTATGGGGTTGCTTTGCATTGTTTGTGGCTGCTGGAGTGGTGCCTTATGAGTCATCAGACGCAGCGCGCTCTTTGTTGTCAAACTTGTTGTATAAGCTAGAGATGGGCACGTGTTCCGTGTTACACGATCTGATATAGATTATACGCAAAGTTCATTTCAATAGAATAGTAAATATATTTATTGATTTTGTAATATTTAATCAATTCTATTGATTTAATTGGTGATTTATATATAGTTGCAGATAAGTTTGAGCATCGTGTCACGAAATGAAACACGAGTTCAACTCTATTAGTATTGTTGTTGAGAATCGATAGTCGCACACACGCACTCATGTGGATTCTATGTTATTGATACTTTTTCATTTTAAGGCCACAAGGAGCTGGCCATTGAGCTGTATCGCAAGGGCATCAAGGAGCTGGAGGATGGCATTGCTGTTGACTGCTGGAGTGGACGCGGGGATGTTTGGGATCGCGCCCAGCGCTTGCATGAGAAAATGCAAACCAATCTCTCCATGGCCCGTGATCGTCTGCACTTTCTCGGTGAGTAACTGCTGGGCGAATGTCTGCATCCAAAACTCCTTTCAAGCGTAGTGTAATATTTTATTTTGTCATGTTTTTTTTTTTTGCACTTATGTTTGTCATTTTGTTTGCACATATTTTTTGTTTTTGTCCCCGGCCCCACCCAATCGCATCCATTTCCTCAGCTTTGCGTGAGGAAGATTTGCAAATGCAACGTTTGTCCCTGGTGGAACCGCCAAAGAAGCAGATCACATCAAAATTCAAACAACCCATGCTCGTGGGTCAAACGAACAGCAAAGCAGGTGTTGAGCCACCAAAAATAACAATGCGCAGCAGCGGCTATGGACCCAAAACCGTCGGCGTCGGCGTCAGTGGGGTCAGCGCAAGCTCGTCGAAAGCATTGCTAGCGGGTAAGTGCCGTAACATTTAATACGACTGCAACAGCAGCAGCAAGAACAAAAGCTAAAGCACCAGTCCAAAATGCGCGACAACAACAACTATAAGAACAACGACAGCAAGCAAACAAAATCAACATTTTCCTCACTCTCGCATTTCCACCACAAAGCACCGCATGAATTTTCATTTTTACTTTTGAATTTCGAACTTTGATCAGTTTACTTTTGATATAGACTAAATTATTGCCAGCAATGTTTATAGTATGAATTCCATAAACATTTACTAAATAAAGTCTTAATTTCTGTGTAGCGTCTGGACGCAAATTGACCATTGGCAACAAACGACCCGGCAATCTGCCCGTTGTTAACAAGTCACAAACGCTGCCACGCAATCTTGGATCGAAGACAACCTCAACATCTGTAGGCGTCGCTTTACAGCGTCAGCCAGGAAAAACGGCAGCGACTCCACCGGCTGTGCGCCGCCAATTTGTAAGTCACTTTTCGAACTTATCAACCATGTATAATGTATATAAATCTCCTGCAGTCTTCTGGTCGTAATACGCCACCGCAGCGCTCGCGTACTCCCATTAATAACAATGCAGCCAGCGGCAATGGCAGCGGCGCTAGCACACCTATGATAAGTGTAAAAGGTGTGGAACAGAAACTGGTGCAGCTGATACTCGATGAAATAGTTGAGGGTGGCGCCAAAGTAGAGTGGACCGATATTGCTGGCCAGGATGTGGCTAAGCAGGCGCTGCAGGAGATGGTCATTTTGCCATCCGTCCGTCCCGAGCTCTTTACAGGTAGGTTGTATCCTTTGTAAATTGGAGCTAAAGTTTTAACAATTATGATTTCAGGCCTGCGCGCACCTGCCAAGGGTCTGCTGCTGTTCGGACCACCAGGCAATGGCAAAACATTATTGGCACGCGCCGTTGCCACCGAGTGCAGTGCCACATTCCTAAACATCTCGGCTGCCTCGCTGACCAGCAAGTATGTGGGCGATGGTGAGAAATTGGTGCGCGCCCTTTTCGCGGTGGCTCGCCACATGCAGCCGTCGATAATATTTATTGATGAGGTTGACTCATTGCTTTCGGAGCGCAGCAGTAGCGAGCATGAAGCGTCGCGTCGCCTTAAAACTGAATTCCTGGTTGAATTCGATGGGCTACCGGGGAATCCAGATGGAGACCGCATTGTTGTGCTGGCTGCTACCAATCGACCGCAAGAGCTGGACGAGGCTGCCCTGCGTCGGTTTACCAAGCGTGTTTATGTATCATTGCCCGATGTACAGACACGAGAACTCCTTTTAACTCGTCTGCTCCAGAAGCAGGGTAGTCCGCTGGATACAGAAGCTCTAGGACGCTTGGCGAAAATAACCGATGGTTATTCGGGCTCGGATTTAACTGCGCTGGCCAAGGATGCCGCATTGGAGCCCATACGAGAACTAAATGTGGAGCAGGTCAAGTGTCTAGATATAAGCGCTATGCGCCCAATCACCGAGAAGGATTTCCATAATTCGCTGAAGCGAATACGTCGTTCAGTGGCTCCACAAAGTCTCAACTCATATGAGAAATGGTCGCAGGATTATGGCGACATTACCATTTAGTTTGGTCGCATTTTGTATTGTAATTTCTTTTACGTTTCCAATTGTTTGTTTTTTTTTTTTTTTGGTGAAACCCACCCAAATGCAGATAAGCCCAGCGGGCAGTCCAAAGCTAAGCACAATACCAGAAACTAGGACACAACGCCCACTTGTCCACGTCCATGGCCAATTAGCCACACAGCTTTAGATGCCGACGCAAATGTTTGTGATGTGAGTGATGGAATTTACATTTTGTTGTTCATGCTGTGTTGCACTTGCAACATGCAGTATGCAGCCACATTAGTTTTCATCATTGACTCGTATTTTTAATATTTTTCAAGAGCGTTTCATTAAGAGTTCAACTTTTATCTTCTTGGTAGTCTTTAATTGTTTTCACAAGTTTTGTTGATTTATGTATGAATACGAAAATGAAGTTGCAAATCATTTCTTTAATTTTGTCTCATACAATTTGCGTGTGTTTAGGATATATGCTTAAGAATATTGTACGAATTTTCAATCTAAGTTTTCTTTTATTAATGCTATGTTAAAACACGGTGCCGAGATCATAGTCCATACGAACATTAATAATAAGCGATACTGTGAAGAACATATTGCAAACTATAATTATTTATCTCATTCAAGATTTGTCTACAAGGAATTTATTATAAATTAAGTAAACAGTTGTAAAATGTATAATTTTCCTTTACTTTTCAATTATTTAATACTACTTTTTGAAACTGCCCATGTGCATTCCATGTTGTTAAAAATACTTTGTTGTATTTATTTTATTTCTTTAGTGGCTCCACAGTCTAATATATACTTCCAATTGATTACTTAGCCTGTTATACAGTTTATGCCATAGACACTACCATTATAATAATAATTGTTTTTTAGTGAACATCCAATCATCAACTATAATTACACGTAATCGTAGATATAAGCTTAGCCCTAAGGTAAAAGTGGATCGATTCACAAATACACGAGAGTACCGATTAGATTTTAGTTCCTTAATGAATGTACAATAGCTGCTATTTCTATCATTTGTTGTTTGTTTTCATTTCAAGGAGTTCTATTTATACTTATGCACTTACACAAATATATCATTTTTAGTACCGTTACCAAATTATTGTACCTAGAATTATATCATTTGCTTACGACGCTAATTAACAGCTTTATGCAGCGCCGGCTCATTTCAATTGTTTAGCGCCCGATCGCCAGCCACAACAATCCAAAAATATTCATAAACTAATGCGGAAAATAAAAATAATTTCAAAAAGTTTGCCGACTATTATTTTAAATGGGTATTTAAAGTATTTTTTCTACTCTTCGGAATCTATAATAGTTTTTAAAATTGTTGCGTTGGTCATTTTTATCAAAAGCTCAACTCTATATTTTGAAATTTTACCGGGTGAAAGCTTACCTGTGAGAGCGAACATTGGCGGGTATCGATAAGATTGATCACAATACTAAAAATCGACTACGAGTTGAATTTAACCGTTATAATCGATCATTTGCAAATTAAATATTTGATGAATGGAAATTCACTTATTGCATATAGCCAATCAATTTTATATGCAAGTTCCAAAAAATTTTTAAACTATAATCAATATTTGCGTGGGTCGAGTCAAGTTCCTGCTATGCGTTTATATAACAAGATAAAGGGCCAATTCATAGTTCAAAGACGGTAAGAAAATTACAATAAGTTTATAAATGGGTGATGATTTCGTTAAATATTCAACGTATTTGCATTTGGTGTACTCCATTGTACTCTTATTTATAAATACATAAAAATGTCTAACTTTATTTTACAAATATTATGCTTAAAATGTGAGGGAAATTTATGTCATCGATACATCTGTTCGTCTCGAAATGCTACCAAATCCATATTAACGAGGAATTTATTTATTTGGCAAGGTTAGAACTTTAAGTTTTTAAATTGTTTATATAATAACAGTTAAGAATACATTATGCTTAAGCTACTGAAAAATAACTGGTTAACGTACATCTGAATGTACATTTTTATGTTTTCAGAATGCTGCCACACCGATTGTGAAGCTAATCGATTCACTTGTACAATCGACATCCCACACGGCCAAGAAATAAGCTATTAGAATTTACTTAAAAATCAATGAAATTAGTGAGAAATTAATGTAAGTATTGGATCCATGGATGATTTATAGTAGCCTTAATTCTAATATAATGTTCTTTTGTATTAATGTTGACTACTTTATTGAATTTTCAACAAAACATGACGCATCTGCATCTGGATACGCCTTTCATTTATGCCGGACACACACGCACACACAAACACACACACGCATACACAAAACAACATTTGTAAAACACTCGCACATGTAAACACGCAGTGCGTACAGCTCACACACACAAACACAAGCAGTCATAATAAAAGTCAAAATAGTTGCCACAAGCAGCAGTAAGTGCACCTCCTACACAGCCTAACAAATTGGAGACATGGCACACATAATGGAAAATCAATTATATGCTGCTGCGCAAGCGATTGAACAGCAGTTAGATCAGGAGATCGATCGCTTGGATAACTTTGACTCTGATGATTTAAAGGCACTGAGAGAGAAGCGTATACAGGAAATGAAGAAGTTAAACAACAAAAAGCAAGAGTGGCTGAGAAACGTGAGTGCAAAACGCTGACCTGATAGAATTCTTTGTATTTGTTTTTAATTTACTGGTTATTTTAGGGTCATGGTACATATTCTGAGTTGGCCGATGAGAAGGAGTTTTTCGAGGTCTCTAAGAAATCGCCAAATATTGTGTGTCACTTTTATAGGGATACTTCGGAACGGAGTCGCATTGTTGACATGCATCTGAAAATACTCGCTGCCAAGCATATAGAGGCCAAATTCTGCAAAGTGAATGCCGAGAAGACGCCATTCTTAACACAACGTCTACGCATCAAGGTGTTGCCAACAATAGCTCTGGTTAAGGATAGTAAAACCAAGGACTTCATAGTAGGCTTCACCGATTTGGGTAACTGCGATGACTTCTCTACAGAGATGCTTGAATGGCGTATCGCCCACTCGGGTGCTATTGAATACAAAGGCGATTTAATGCAGCCACCAGATGTTAAACGCAAACCATTTATAAATCGCCCACAGAAGACAATACGCGGTGGTTATGACTCCGACGATTCAGATATCGATCTTGATGACTAACGTGGCGCCAACAGCAACCAACGAGATATTATTAACTAATACATCCAGAGTAAACACTAGCTGCTTGGTACTTGGTTGCGCCGGGAAAACAAAAAAAAAGAAATTAAATCAAAACCTAGCACATGAATGTAGGAATCCAATTAGGCATACTTTATCGTTATTTATTAAATTGTATAATTCCAATCAATCTACCGCGACTAACACTAACAACCTTCACCTAAATACATTGGCATAGCTAGCGTGGTTGCCTTTCCTCCATTTATATTTAAACACACTAGTGCCCAGCTTAAAGCCAGCCCTTCTATGTTTTACGTTCTATAAAGGCCTTCTGGCCTTTGGCACAACATAAATATTACTTCGCATGACATTCGTCGTATATGAATGTATGAGGATATCTTACGTAAATATAAAAAGACATAACTGGCCTACATATATATATTTTTAACAATATTTGACATTTGGCAGTGATGCATTTCCTATTGTAGAAATAACTAACTCACATGTACAAGTTTTTTACATTTATTTTTGTAATTCTACGAATACATAAACATGAAATCGTCTTCACATTAAATGGCAAGTACGGAAAAGAAAGATTTGTGTTTCTACTAATCATGCAAAAAAGTAAAGGTAAGCAATTCCAAATGTAATTAGCGCGCACTTTTAGAAATAATTATAAACAAACTAGGTTGATCTTTGAGCCGGCGTCGAATATTGAATGCTACTTGCTGTTGGAAAGTTGGTCCCCCGATGAATCCTTGGACTTCTCTCTTTTTGACACCCACAAAATCGATGGGTTGCTTTGAGCGCGCAAGGGTTATTAACTTTTTAGCTTATATCTGGGAAATATATCTCGTTACCTGCATCCAAATGTGGGTCATAAAGTGCCTTGTTAATCCTCGACAGCTTGCAGGTCATAAACCCAAGCAGATGCAAAGTTAACTTAAGTTTACCTGCAACTGTATATAAAGAAGTCGCTGAAGCTGAAATTGAGGCAGTTGATCTTTGATTTTGGCACGTCCAAGTCGCGATGGTGCTAGATGATGTTATGAGGAACATTGTGAAGACATTGAAGGATAACTATAGCTACGAGGAAATTGCACAAATGCTGGAGTGTGATGTAGAAAGCGTGGCTAGCTGCATTACGGAGGCTGAACTAAATGTGAGCAAAATGCCAAAGTTGAAGCTAAGACCGCTGCCCGAATTACAGAATAGGCGAGATGTTGGACGGCCAAAAGTGTTTGAGAATCGTAAATTGGTGGAGCAAATGCTTGGCGAACACCCACATTACACGTCAATAGATGTGCAGCGTGAGTTAATGAATCGCTTTGGCATTGAAGTTAGTCGTCGCACACTACAAAGACGCATCAGTGAGATTCGTTCGCGGCAGCCTCCTCCTAAGAACGGAACCTTAAGTGCGACTGTTCGGCAACGGCGCTTGGAATGGGCACTCGCCCATGCGGAGTGGACCGTACAGGACTGGCGCAACATCTTCAACATGGACGACCACAAATCGATGACGGACAGTCCAGCGCCCAAAGAAATATACTTGGACACATTGCTGGGCCCAGATTGCAGCGATTGCAATGATTTGAATCTGTTGGAGCAACTAATCGACATTATACAGCCCAAAATACAAGACCAGGCACCCCAAAATGTTAACGAATTTCGATCGGTACTCTACGATATCTGGCACAGCGATCAGGAGCTGGTCAACAAGATAGAGCACCTATACGAGTCGATGGTATGTCGTGTGGAGGCTGTCTTACAAACCGGTGACACAGAAATCGACTTTTGCTAAGCAGCGCAGCTATTATAGATATATTTTGTGATAACAAAGATACAAACAATTGAACCAATAGTATCCTTTATTCATAGGCACAATTACTTCTATAAATAGTTTAGCTTAGATTATAATTTAATTTTGTAAGACATAAGAATGATATATACCAAAAACAGGTTTGCAGGCGTCATACATTAACTTTTAAATTAAACTATCTACTGCATGTACACAATTTGAAACGAACATTTGAATTAAAAATAATTGTGAAATAGGAAAGTTGCGTTTTTCGTTAAAAGAATCTTCGAATTTTAGCTGCGACTCCGATTGCTAACTAGTTCTAAAATATTAAGTCAGTAGCTGACATGTGTGATGCCCTCCGGCTAGCTGGATAATCTTTGGCGTTTGCTTGGCGACACGAGCACAGCTGCAGGCTGGTTTTGTTGCGCGCCTGAGATTGCGTCAAAAATGCTCGTCTCGGAACGCTGGTATTCGCTGCCAATGTTTTCCAAGTTAAGATCGGCATTCAACACCAGAACCTATAAAAATAGAAATCATTTAGCACCTCATTTCACAACTCGAATAAATTCTTATTAAACGAACCTTGCACTGTTGTGGACGGCGTTGGTGGATCAGCCAATCCTCATGTAGTTCATGCAATTCTTGTAAGTACTTTAAGGGCACGCAGCTCTCCTCGGAGCGTGCACGCTGACGAATACGTTCGTGTGCAACTTCAGGCGATGTGCGTAAATAGATAATCAGATCAGCTTGCACGTGTATCGATTCGGCAATGAATTTATACCATTCTTGTAGGGTATTGTACATGCCCAGCTCCAAGGATCCATTGCGATACATATTTTCTACAAAACAATACCTGGAACAAGATGAAATTGATATGTTACTTTAAATCAAAATTGAAGTTTATCTTTCGCTTGCCGTGAACTGTAAATGGAGCGTTCGATTATTTTCAATTTTTTGTCCGTGGCTGCCGTGTGGGCTTGAAGCATCGTTAGTGTGACGTATGACTGGAAGGGCATGGCCCATTTTTTTGGCTCTTTGTACATTTTTTCGAGCAAATTAACGCCGTTTACATTACGCCATTTCTCAACAGGCTCTGTGATCAGGCAGACATCCTTATCATATTTCTGGAAGTGGTTCAAAAATGTTGTCTTTCCGCTGCCAATATTTCCCTCAATTAGCACTGTGAAGGGCTGTGTGCCCTCGGCGAACTTTCGGCCATTGGATGCGCTTCCTTTTGCTGTGGACATAATTGCTGCCAAACTTTTATCTGTGCGTTAAAAATGAGTGTATTCTTTATGAAAATCTATATATAAATCTTAAAAAGATGAGTGAATTTTGCGTTGCTAGTTGTGAAATTGCCAAGATGTAGTTGAATGCAGCTGTACAGAAAGATCGATTCCCCGAACTAACGCGCCCACTGTTCACGATCTCAATGCCGAAAAAATAAAAGAGCGGGAACAATCTTTGAAATGGCGGAATTTCTAATGTTTGATTATGTTGTCAACAGCTGTTCGATTAACAAATTATATATTAAATAAGAATCGATAAATAAACAACAAATTAATTACATATGTGTTTGATGACTTGTTGTGAACCCGGCATATTCATTAAGCTTAGGAAGTAAGAATTGTTATGTAGTATATTTTATTTTTAGCCACTTTGTTTTTATTTGAGCGAAGTAAGGTCGTAAACATGAACACAGAAAATACCGAGGACGGTCATATGACTGTCTAGTATTCATTTACTGATAATAGTTTTTCCATGTTATTTAACTCACCGCTCACTTTTATATAATAATTGAAAAAGCTATGAAAAGCCATCTTCAAATAAATTATTTACTATATGTTACCCTTAAGCTATGCTAATAATATTATTACATTTAAATACGAATAAAATTGTTCAAATTTGAATTAACAAGCAGAGTATATACTGAACGACTATCGATAGGTATCGTTAAATTTTGGTTTAACAACATGCTGAAGTCGAACTAAATATGCTGCACCAGACATAGACGTGGTCACACTTTTTGTTATATTATAGAAGGAGAAAAACGTAAATTGGCCTAATTTTTTATTAAAACTTTTCGTTTACGCTCAACGCGGATCTTTTTTCTCACGGATTAAGCCTAAGTCATTGATAGCAGTGAAAGGGGTAAGTCAATAAAAAAACATGTGCGTCGTTCAATTAATAAGCTACAATTTTTAAGTCCGAGTTAAAGTTTTAAATCCATACAGTCTGTCTTAATGTGAAAAATCATATGGCTTAAGCATACAAGTTAACACATAACATTTAATATAGGGTATTTCATAAGTTTATAATCAACCCTCGCTATCGCGTGTTTCGTAAGTTAAGAAACAGCCCTCGCAATTGCGACACTGCATACTTTGTATCAGCGCGCTATAACTGCAATGGTCAGCGGCGGTAACCAGATACTTTTGTTTACTGCAAGAGTTTCCGTTATTGCCTAAGATTGCTGAGTCGGCTTGCCGACCATGACATTGTGGTGTGATGCGAGTTTTGGCTTAGCTTAAGTGAAATATTCTATGTAGCTAAAAATCAGTTTTGCATTGAAGTTTGAAGAATAAACCCGCACTACTCCGGCACACCGCCGTAATCAAATTGTTATATTTCTGATCATTGCTGAGCCACAAGGCCAGTTAATAGAAAAGGGGGTGAAGTCAAACCCTCCAACATAATCATCATAAGAAGATTATAATTACCCGATCAACGCTGGACCTGCCACCGACGCCTAGCTCATAGCTGGACCAGCAACTTATTGATTAAGACTATAAATACCCGATCAACGCTGGACCTGCCACCGACGCCTAGTTCATCGCTGGACCAGCAACATATTAATTGGCGCCCAACGTAAAAAAAAAAAAAAAAAAAAAAAAAATTTTTTTTTTTTTTGGAATTTAAATCATATTAAACAAGCTTGCAGAAAAATTACGATTTATCCTGTCATTCACAAGAATTTCATATTGCGATTGCCTGACAACGTCATAGCCGAATGCGATGGAAAAACCCACACACTGCAGAGTTGCACCGCTTCACCTGGAGCCACCTTTTGTCGTCTGGCATTAGAGAGTTCATGTGCCAAAGAGCTCCATGCAGGTGGCACGGCACACTGTGAAATCCAGCCGAGCAACCTGGAAATAATCACCCACGTAGATGATGGAATCATCATTCTTAACGACGGGTCCGCAAGGATCCAGGTGGATAACGGCACTGAAATCCAAGTACACGGCACGCATCTCATTACGTTCGGGGACCGAGTCGCGATCAACGGGACTCTGTTTTACAACCACAACAACGTACGCAATAGAGTCCCGGGCATTGCCAACTCTCCCTTGCTGAACATCACTGCCAGCCAAGATGTCCTCAGCCTCCCTTATCTTCATCGTTTAAATGAACGTAATTTGGAGGAGATACAGCAATTCAAGAAAGACGCCGGAACTGATCAAGCTTATCGTGTGGCATTCATCATTGGAGGTATATGCTGTGCTTTAATCTGCATTGGCCTCACCCTTTGGCGGTTCATCGACGCAAGGAAGTCTGCGAAGCAATTACGAGAAGTCGTCGCCGGAATTGGGTCGGCCGAGGGCGGCCTTACACTTGAAGGGGGAGTAGTTAACACATAACATTTAATATAGGGTATTTCATAAGTTTATAATCAACCCTCGCTATCGCGTGTTTCGTAAGTTAAGAAACAGCCCTCGCAATTGCGACACTGCATACTTTGTATCAGCGCGCTATAACTGCAATGGTCAGCGGCGGTAACCAGATACTTTTGTTTACTGCAAGAGTTTCCGTTATTGCCTAAGATTGCTGAGTCGGCTTGCCGACCATGACATTGTGGTGTGATGCGAGTTTTGGCTTAGCTTAAGTGAAATATTCTATGTAGCTAAAAATCAGTTTTGCATTGAAGTTTGAAGAATAAACCCGCACTACTCCGGCACACCGCCGTAATCAAATTGTTATATTTCTGATCATTGCTGAGCCACAAGGCCAGTTAATAGAAAAGGGGGTGAAGTCAAACCCTCCAACATAATCATCATAAGAAGATTATAATTACCCGATCAACGCTGGACCTGCCACCGACGCCTAGCTCATAGCTGGACCAGCAACTTATTGATTAAGACTATAAATACCCGATCAACGCTGGACCTGCCACCGACGCCTAGTTCATCGCTGGACCAGCAACATATTAATTTACATAATATAAACATGAGCTCTACAAATATTCATATGAGTTGAACTAATCTACGAATGAAAACTAAATGACACAAACATAAGTGTGTAAATTTCAACCAACTGCTTAGTAACGGTAGGCCTTCTCTTCAATTTTCTTCGCCCACCTGGCGCACTTAACGACGCAAACTGTTGAGGGTCTTATATAAAGGTTTACATACTTTAATTGCTATTCGTCCGCATGTTGTATTTTTGTTGTTTTGTTTTTTTGCATTCGACATGCCTTACTCCATTTTCCTGCCAGCCCAGTCCACCTCTATAAATGTTCAGCTAACAAAGTACACGTGCACACACACATGCACATGCAGTTGTACACAGGCATTCACGGTTCAAGTCTAAGTATAGGCGGGACAAAGGTCGATTGGATGGGATAGCAGTAAACTGCCGTGTACTGATGACTCTTCAACTCTCGATTTGGAGTGCTATTGCAAATTGTACATGTGTGTTGAGTGTTTAGGAATTTCTAAAAACATTTTCCATTTAAAAGTTTGTCTTAAATTTTAATAATACTATCTATTCATATATATATTTGTTTCTTCAGCTGATTCGTTTAGAGGCTACGACAATTGTAATGGAATCCTCTACAAATTTGCTGGAGCGCATCAGCGCGGGCAGCGATAAGGAGACGGCCAGCAGCCTCAACGTCAGCGGAAACGATCAGGATTCTGGTTTACCCTCGTCGGCAGAGATGACGAATACGCCTGTGGCGCAGAGCGCAGCCGGCGATGATGAGGATGCGGATATTTTCGAACAGGTGACAATGATATTGCGTAAAAGACGTGGCTGGGGACCACAGGATTCTCTTAGCCCTAGTGGCCTTGATCTAGATTTGCTTGAAGATGACGATGAGTTGGTTGAGGAAGATGATGCCGGTTGTCCGCTGCCTTCGACGCCAGAGGACACTCAGCTCATAGAGGCCGAGGTAAGTTGAAAGTCACACCTCTAATCTATATGCACGACTCATTTGCCCCAGCACGCGGCCTGTTATCTCTGTCTGACCCAGTGGCCAGCTGCTTATACATTTGTACGAAATAAAGTAAATACGTACATACACACATACTTATATGTACTTGAACCTTCGCATTGCAATCGATTGCTGGCATTTTCAGCGTTGCGACCGGGCTTATCATATCGTTGAACTCACCAGGCTGCCACCTGTGCCTTCTCGTCGACGCAAAATGTTGACGAAGCACCCACCCACTGTCGACATTGCTAAAAAATACATGTATTATTAACTTATTGTCGCCATTTGTGTCTACACTTACTATTAGTGCGTCTTGTGGGTTCAGGTGCGCATTTCGCTTTGAGTGCTGGATTTGGGCGCTCGTTGCCGATAAGGTGGAATAAAATTTATAATAAAAATGTAGTAAATTTATACAAAAACAAATGTGACGCAGATAAGTATTTTGCGTTTAACTGTCAATTTTGTTCACTCTTATCTTATCGCGTGCTGCGCTCGCCTTTCTCTTGTTCCGCTTTAAGTTTTGTACAAAATATTAGACTACAGTAGGCGAGCGACAAGCGCGTCAAAGTCTAAAACTTGCCTTTTCGTGAAATTTATACATTATTTATTATTATTTTGACTTAAATTTTACTTGTTGCCAATGGCACAGTCGCGGGTTGTATTTGATGCTGTCATAAACGTGAGCGGAACTCAGGAATCAGAATCGTTTGAGCAAGAACCCTATGAAGATTCAATTCAATTAAAATCAAGCGAGATCACTGTTAGTCAAATTGCTAAAGTTCAATAATCTTAAGCTTTTAAATCCGTCTCTAACTGTGCCAGAATTTAAACGCATCCATTTATTTTTTAGATGACCGAAGTCTTAAAGGCAGGTGTACTCTCAGATGAGATCGATCTGGGTGCTCTGGCACACAATGCCGCCGAGCAGGCTGAAGAATTTGTGCGCAAGGTAAGCCGAAAGCTAAAGCAAAAAAAACTGGCTGTTTATTGTTTATTTTTTATTTTATTTAAAATGTATTTTTAATCATTGTGTATTTACTCATTTTAATAACGCATGCACACATTATTTTTAAATAAATGCACTTCGACCTTTGTTATTGAATCGTTTTAATTTATTTCATTACTAATTCTTTCATAAATATATGTCTAATTTGTAATACAATTTCGTGAAACTCATAAATATTTTGCTTGTTCACAGGTCTGGGAAGCCAGCTGGAAGGTTTGCCATTACAGGAACTTGCCCAAATGGTTGCAGGACAATGATTTCTTGCACCGCGGTCATCGCCCACCTTTACCATCGTTCCGCGCATGCTTTAAATCAATATTCCGTGTTCACACGGAAACGGGCAACATCTGGACGCATCTGCTCGGCTGCATTGCTTTTATCGGTGTCGCTCTATATTTCGTGTCTCGTCCCACAGTTGAGATACAATTTCAAGAGAAATTAGTATTTGGTGCATTCTTTATGGGTGCCATTATTTGCTTGGGATTCTCATTTGCTTTTCATACATTAAGTTGCCATTCGGTAGAGATTGGAAGACTGTTTTCAAAGTAAGCCACCAACACTTACGCTTATCTTTTAATTTTTATTAATTGAAAACAAATTTGTATTTAAAGACTGGACTATTGTGGAATTGCATTACTCATAATGGGCTCCTTTGTGCCTTGGCTTTACTATGGCTTTTATTGTCACTATCAGCCAAAGGTGATATACCTGTCTGTGGTTTGTGTACTCGGCTGCCTGTCTATCATTGTCTCGCTGTGGGATAAGTTCTCAGAACCTGCCTTACGTCCGCTACGTGCTGGCGTTTTCATGAGTTTCGGTCTGTCTGGCGTTATTCCGGCCATCCACTATAGCATTATGGAGGGCTGGTTAAGTCAAATCAGCCGCGCTAGCCTTGGTTGGCTAATACTAATGGGTAAGTAATGGAAATAGCATCATTAAATGGCTTTAAATTAATTATTCGCTTGGTTTCAGGTTTACTGTATATACTGGGCGCATTATTATACGCTCTTCGCGTGCCTGAGCGCTGGTTTCCCGGCAAGTTTGATATTTGGGTTAGTATTTTTTCTTATTTAATGATTAATTCATATTTTTACCAATCAATACCTTCTACAGTTTCAGTCACATCAAATTTTCCATGTGCTTGTTATAGCGGCCGCATTTGTGCATTACCATGGCATCTCGGAAATGGCTATGTATCGTGTTACTGTCGGAGAATGTACCGTGCCAATCGAGCCTATAACTTTTTAAATAATTTAGCAATTACAAAAATACAATCGTCACATACAATCACATGCATGCACTCACAAAAAAACATCTGCACTACAAGCACTACACTTGAAGATCGTAGCGCCGTTTTGACAATGCAACCATTTTAGCGTTTGGTACGCATTTGTTCTTTGTTAATTGGATTCAAACAAAAAGCCAACCTTCAGGATGGATCAAGAATAAAATAGTCTATTTCCGGAATGCTGATTGGAAAACATACGTTATTAAATACTTAGGAAAACCCCGTTTATTATAATCGAATGAAATCTGCTGTAGTTTAATTAATATAACTATTTATAAAACTTTATTTTACATAATTTTATTGTAGACTATAATCTTTGAATAGTTCAAACATATTGTTGGTATGTAAAATTTTTTTCGGTTCTTATTTTATCTTATTTTTTTAAATTTGAAGTTACCACAAAACAAATTCAGAAAATATTTAAATATGGTTTGCGCTCAGGGGTATATATATTATCGCGCTTCTAAGGCCAGTCAAGCAATTTAAATTTAAGCTTTCAAATCGAGTACGTTTTTAAATAATATATAGATCATTAGTTTTTCAGTGAATCAAATATAAAATAAAAATTGTTATCAAGGGTCGTGTTTCGAATTTTATCAATTGGCCACATAACTTGTACATGATTATATCAAGCACGAAATTCTTTTCCATGCTTTGACCATTGATAATGCAATGCAAATTGAAACAATAAATTTTATATGAAGCGATGAAAAATGTTGTGTGAATTAAAAGTTGTCTTCAAATGAACGACACTTGAAAGAGTCGCTTTAGCTCTCAACATAAAGAATACCTCGAACTGTTTGCAAACACAGTGGAGTTTCCTCATGTTATGCTGTTCTTAATTGATGCTCTTCATTGCCTCAGCTTAACGCGCATCTTGCAGCGTCGTCGTATCGAAATCTGTGCGTGCAAGCGACCAGGTTATTAGTTTAGTTCATGTGCCAGCTGTTTGTTGTGGTCTTGGACTAGACAGCGAGGGTTGCCCTCGCGCGCTGCTTGCTAATGACTGGCAAAATTCGGCTCAAGAGTTGACTTTGACCCGCTAGATCAACTCGATCGACTGCGTTAGGTCTCAGTTGTCTGTCGTTTATTATTCAGCTCTTTTTGTTCTACTTCAGGTTTTTGTCTTTTTTGACATCTCGATAGATCATTAAGCATACATATGTTCGTATATATATGTGTAAACACCATTCTTAATTATGCAATTATGAATGTTATAATAACAACTACTTTTATATTAGAGAATACAAGTTGTATTTTATTTGTATTCCAAGTTCACACTTCAATTTATTCAATAAAAACAGAACACAGAGAAAAAGTTAAAGGCTCTTCGATTTGTTTACAAAATACAGTTATTCAAATGGATCGAAAGATTAGGGGGTACAAAGGTTAGCCGCATCTATTCATAAAACATTTTCGTTTTTGGTGTTTTTTTTTTCTTTCCGTTTTACACACAGGTCAAACATGAAGTTGAATTTAGAGGTGTGTTTGATCTTATCTGGGACATCACTTGTAGTGAAGGGCGCGCTGGTTGTTCTTTGAAGCCTTTTGGGCATTTACAACTGGTTAAATTAAACATTATAGACCTGATCTTGTGTCGGTATGTGTTGTAACTCCAACAACACTTAACACTTTTGATTTTCAAAATTTTTGGGCTTTCACTTTCAATTAGGCTGTAAGTGATACTCGTCAGCTATAATTTTGTTCATTATGTTTAATGAGACAAACTGTGAGTGTCTAGTCTCAAAATTAGGCGTCAAGATTTAGACACTAGTCTACTGAAGATCAAGATAAGATTAAATTTTACATTAAATTAAATTTTTATCAACTCAAGCAGAATTTATTCTTATTTCTTTGTTATACGAATTTCCTCAAAATGCTTAACTGTGCACATAACATTGAGATCTTATATACATTTTTAGTCTGTTAGAGTATAGTATATTCGTTATATATACTTTTTTTTCATTTATGCTAAATCGGTTTTCTGAGCAACTCGGAAGCTGCATGTCTTCAGTGTGTAGTTCAATGTCAGTATCTGTGCATAGAGTTCAAGACCCTCTGAATTTTATTGACTTTTTGATTTTATTAATGGGTTTTCTTCAGCCGACTTCATGCGTCTAAATCAATAATATAGACAGTCAGAGGCAACGGTAATCATCTTGTGTCTTTCAAGGCTTTTGGCATAAGAGTGTTATGGTCAAGGCTGAACAGACCCCAAAGTCGTTGCATGTGTATACGTATGTATGTATGTATGTCTGGCTTGTGTGTATGCGTGATTTTTAATCAGCGTGACAATTGTCAGTTGCTTTTTCTCAACTTGTTTCCCTCTACTGAACCACGCCATTCAATGTGGCTCATAAATTGAGTTTTAATGTAGACTCAATTAGTGCGTCGATATAAACAAATGCGAAACAAGAAGTAAAACGAACAAAACACATAAAAGGTACAGAATTTTTTGTTGGTCAACTAATGAGCAGATACTGTTGTCTTGATTCTTGCAAACATCGGACATTGAATCCCAATCATTTTCATGCAAATTATGCTATCTTGTCAAGTTCAAAAACATTAAAAGCGTATAATAGACGGACGGAGTAGTAAAAAGAAAACGCCTCAGAGCTCGTTTAAGCAGCAAGCGGACTACCAATTTTTGCCTGATTCGATGTTTTGTAAAGATGCTATAAGACTTATGGGTGTATGTATGTGTGTTTATTTAAATAAGCCGAAAAAATCACTAATCGTATGAGTCGTTATAGCGGCGTACAAAAACACACACACACACAGGTAAACTGTCATGCGCAAGTTTGTGTCTTAAGTCTTTTGTTTCCCTCATATGACATTGAGCTGAAGACTGATTTAATTGATGCTCGATAAAATCACAACATATGCAAATAATGTAAACTATTTCGGATTTATAACAAACTAGATCTTGTTTATATCTTATAATAGTTTGGCCAATGATGTTACAAGCTGCACACTTTGTAGTTAGGCGCATAGATTAGGCATTAGGGGCACGCGTCAAAATTCGTTCACCTATACATAGTATTATGCGCAAATTGATGGCAAAAGTGCGACTGGCAGCTGTTTGGCAATTGAAATGAACCGCATGTACGACGCCAATGGCCAGCCCCAAAAACAACATTGTTCTCTCAGCTAGGCAGAAACACACGCGCCTGGCATAATTAACTCGGGCTTCACCTTCAAAATTGCGGAAGCTGAAACGTAACCAAAATCGGATTTGGGCGCTGCTCAAAAATCTGTGAATGAATCGCTAATGAAATCGAAATTAAAAGTAATGCATGCATATTCTTATTTGTAAAGTGGACATAGCACATCAATCAGCGGCCGCTCTTAGCTCTCTGAGTTATTAACAACAGCAGGGACCAAGGCAACTGCGGCAAGTGCCATTTAATTTGTTTGGCCAAATTGCAGCTTGTGGCGCATTGTGTGGCTGGCTGTCTGGCTGGTGGCAAATGTCAGCCAGCATGTCAGTCACTGGGCGCAGTTGTAGACTTGTCTTTGTTGCCAGTGTGCTTGCTTCTAATGGGCAAGGTTTGAGTGCTCATATTCATACCGGGCATACATAATCACACCGTGGCCCAGCTTTATGATGACGTTGCTTAAAGTTGCAAGTGGCCACTGGAAGTCTTTGGATTGCCTGCGTCTGCGGTTTCAGTCAGTCGTATTTGGAGTCACAGTCGCACTTGCAATCGCAGTCGCAGTCATTTTGGTTTGGTCTTGTGGTTGTGGCCTTTTGGTGTCATTAAATTGCACAATAATTTGCACACTCAGCGTCATAAGGGTCGCCTGTGGGCGCTGTCTAGGCCAGTCGATTATCGCCCATGTAGTTATCTGGGAGCTGACTGCTGCTACTTGGCCAGCCAATATATATGACAAAGTTATGCCATATCCAATCAGTCAAACGAAAACAAAATTGCCATAAAATTATACGAAGAAAAAAACTCATTGAAGGCGTTGTTAATTACAACGTTCAATCACAATAGATAGAAATTATCGCTTTCTAATAACAACTTATGTATGTGCATATACTTAACGCTAATCACCGATCGATAATTGCCTCACAATATTGTTTGTCTGATCGTTTGATGTTATAAAATCCTAGAACACATGCCCTCAAAAACATGCAATAGCAATAGCATAACTAATACACACACACACACACAGACACGCGATTACCTGTTCGACTATACAGAACTGGCGCGATCGACACACACATTCTTGTGGCTAAATTAACAAGTTGGCTGGCGATCGCGATCGCTTCGGCACTCGTCTCGTGCCCGATCGATCGAGCCGTATCAAAAACTCGCTACTGTGTGTGTGCGAGTGTTTGTGTGTGTGCATGTGTCTGTGTCTGCAGCGGCGCATAGAAGACGGCTTGTCGCGCCCGGATGTCGCTTAGTTTGTTGCCGGCGCTTTAACCGCAAAGTAAGCGCAAAAGCGTGAAGTTGGCCCCACTGGCAAAACTAAGATCCCCTGAGTTGCTGCTATTGCTGTGAAGCGCCGCGTGTTCAATAGAACTTAGAATAGATATAAAAATATAATATTTTGAGAGGATAACGTGCTCCGTGCTCCCAAATAGTGCCGTGTGCAGTGTCGTGCCACTATATATAAATCGATATATATATAAGATAATCCAAGTACAGCAAAAGGCAAGTGCAGTAGAACTCAAAAAACCAAAGATTATTAATTATGAAAACATGTTTTAAATATGAATACGAAATGAGCTTAAAACAAAATTTCATATCAACATTGTTTCAAAACTGAGCCAGTTTTTTTTGGCTCATTGCGAAAGAGACGCGCGTGTTTGTGGACCAATTTCGAGCTCCCCGAAAATGTATTGTATACGAAAGAGAAACAACGAAGATAACTCAGCATGGGCATCTCCAAAACCAGATTACAACATAAACTAAAGTTATAGCTGTAATACACATGTCGTATAGGGGCCCGAGTCGTGAGCTGTAGCCTAGTCAATCACTGAAGTCAATCACTAATATGTAAATGGTTTTCTGTTTCTTTTTGGCGACTGATCAACGAACACAAGCGGTGGCAGATGAGGCTAAAAATGCATCGCTGATCGTTCATCGTTGATCATTGATCGTTGATTGTTGATTTACCTAGATGGGACCACGCAACAGTAACAAGTTGATGTTAATGTTGTAAATACATAGTGCAATATGCGCAGATGCCAATTTAACTTAATTTTGTGATCTTATATCATACTGAAAAGAAATTATTTCAATTT